GATGGGAGGGGGGAGGATCTGAAAAGAGGAGGGGGGAGGACGAGACGGACTGGGAGCGGAGGAGGACAAGCATGGGAGCAGGGTGGAGAGGAGAGATGGAGGGTGGGGATGGACAAGCTGGGCGCGCTTAGGAAGCAGACCTGACATCGTGCTCCGCCCCGCCCCTTCCCCCTTGCACCCTTGCACTGATGGTTCTCGGCCCGCCGTCGCGCGGAGGAGCGACCGTACCAGGAAGGGACGAGACGAGGGCAGGCGGGCAAGGCGCGGGAAGAGGGCAGGTGGCCACGTGTCCGCCTGTCTCGTCTGTGGCCGCATCGCGTGCCGTGCAGCAGCTGAGCGCTCGGTGCCTGTAGTGTAAAGAAGCGCGGCGCGGGGCGCGCCGTCGCGCGGAGGAGGGGGGGATGGAGCAGGAGAAGGGGAACGGAAGGGGATCGACGGCAGGAGAGAAAGCGGAGGGGCGGCCCATGAAAGCAGGGATCCGAGCTCTGTACAGCGACGCTCTCTTCCGGCACCGCACTGGAACTCGCACAGGAAGAGGATCCTGGTGTGTGCGGGATCCTGCTGTATACATTTTTCGTCGTTTTCTCAGATAAACGGGGGAAAAGTATACACCACACCACCCCGACGTCGTCCCCGACCTTCAAAAAGTCCCGGGATTGAAAAGCAGCCCGCAACTGGTAATGTATATTTTCCGGTTTCCGAGAAAGGGGGCGCTGGCGCGGTCAAGATTCGCGGCGGCCCGAAGACCGAGGTTCCTGCTTCCGTGCGGGGCGACGGCGTCGAGGACGACTGCGCTGGAGGGGCAGGTCTGGGTCAGCAATTGGGCCACAGCATAACCGAAACACGTGTTGGTCCGTGGCGAGGGCGAGTGTACATAGCGTTTTTGGAAGCTGGCGGCCCTCAGGCGTTGGGAACCTTCGTCGCGAGGAGTGCGCAGGGGGCATCAGGCAGAGGCCTGCGTACCCCGCATAGCCGAAACACTCGGGGGAGGCAATGAGCGAATCTCATCCCCCAAGCCACAGCTCCGCGAAAGGGATCGCCAACAAAGGGCGAACCATGCTTGGCGGTCCTGTAGGTGCCAACTCCTCTTCCTTCTCCTCTTCGTTCTTCTCGGCCTACTTTTCAGCATCTTGGAGTCCCCTTCCCTTCAGTTGGGAAGATGGCAACTTTTCATCAGCACAGGCCTAGGGCACGTGTCTTCCTAATCTCCTCAAGGCTTCATTGCTACAGTCTGTGCCAATCCCCACCCATCGACCTGTATGCCCCCGAGCAGGACGAGCTTCCCGCCGTTGCCGAGGGCGTCGAGGTCGATGACATCATCCAGCTGCCTCGTCGGCGGAGTTCCTCCTCGACTCCCTCCTCCCCCCAGCCAGGAGGGGGGCAAAAGGTACCCGGGGGAAGGGACACAGGCCGAGGGGGCAACGCGGGGGAGGTGGGAGCAGGGAGGCGGCGGGAAGAGACGGGGCGGAGCAGGGGGGGGAGGAGAAGACAGGGCGAGGAGGAGGAGAAGGGGGTGGGAAGGGGGGAGGATGAGGAGGAGGAGGAGGAGGAGGAGGAGGAGGAGGAGGAAGAGGAGGAGGAGTGAGTGCGCGAGGCCAGTCACGAAGCGAACCCGAAGGAACTACGAGGCCCGACGCGCGATCGCGGCCCGACTCCGAACCTCGCGCGGCCGCTGCCCTTCCGGGGAATATGTATGGAGGCTCGGCCCGACTGGAAGTCGTAGTCCTGGGGCATATTAACCCAAGACGTCGGACCATCTGACCAGCAAAGCACCCGCAACTCGAACGAACCAGAGCTTAAGAATACTATTTGTTTTGTTTTCTCCTGCGATGAGTGTGATACGAATGGAAGCCGCATATCGAAGTACAGCAGCACCGACACGAGCGCAGCATTCGGCAATGGAAAATGGCGATATATCAAAATGCGCAAGACACCATCAACAAGACATGATAAAAGGGGCCAGCAACCAGAGCTTAAGAATACTATGCAACCGATGTTGTGGGCTTCATGCACCCATCCCCCGCGAAGTGCAGCCCAGCCCCCGACAGCACCCCAACACACATCTCCATTACTGAAGGATGGCTGGAAGCACGGCTAGTCTCTCCAGGCGGACCGACGGGCTTCGGTGGCGGAGATGTAACACCTGAGGCATCTACGGCCACATTCCATTCTGCGAGGCGATGGCTGGTCGCGAAAACTGGAACGGCAGAAGGAGCGGAAGGGGGAAGGGGAGGGGGCTCAGATATTTCCCTGGCGCCAGGTCCCTGCAACTCCTTGCCTGGCTCGATGGTGTCGACTGTGCCCCTGAGAAGAGGTGAAGGAACCAAGAACGTTTTTCCCCACGTCGTAACACGATACACTTCTTCCATTGAGACCTGACACCTGTCAGCAGCAGCACGAGCGAGAATGTCAGCAACAGCGTTGCCCAGCACAGTCCACACAGGAAGGCGACGGGTCATGATGGCACTGGCTTCGAGATGTGAACTGACGAGCTTCGCTCTCAGAACTGCTAGCCGACACGATGCCAAAGATCTGCATCTATACCATGTGGCTCCAAGTAGCGCCTCTAGGCCCACCCGTTCTCCGCATTCTGATTGTCGATAGTGTACACCACTCTGGGGCGATCTCAAGCGCCTCTTGGGCCGTCTTGGGGCACGTTTGGGCCGTGCTGGGACTCTCTTGCGCCGTCGTGGCGCCCTCTTTGGATGCCTCTTGGACCGTATTGAGCTGATGTCTGGGGCCTCGTAGGCTGACCTGGACTGTCGGAAGCACGAAACAGCGAGACCACGAGAAACCCACACAAACCATCGAAAACACCTACTCGTTCGCCTCCTGAATGCCTCGTGGGAGACCCTTTGAAGGCATCTTGGCTGTCTTGAAGCCCTCCTAGGCTGTGCCCAAGCCACGTTGGACAAATTTAACAACTTTCTTGTGCGAGATTGGGCTCTCTTGGAACACTCTTGGGCCATCTTGGCGCCCTCTTGGACGTCTCTCGGCCCCTCCAGTCGCCCCTTTTCGGCCCCCTTGACGTTTTTGTTGGCGCCCCCCGCCTGGCCCGAAACGGCTGGAAGACAAAGCAGTACTCCGGGGGCCCCGGGACCCCCTCCCCATCTGTATATATATATATATGTGTATATGTATATGTATATATATATATATATATATATGTGTGTACACCTGCATACATGCATATATGTACATACAGTTATACAGATGGTGCAACCTGCGCGGTGCAAACTACGTGGTGCAATCCACCAATGCTCAATTTGAAATTGCCCACGCCACTGTTCGCGCAAACGTCCCACCCACCCACCCGCAACTTGCTTTGCAAACCCCGTGCGGAAGCGATCGCGATGAGTGCTTGGTGTTGGCTGGTGCATCTCTGCGGCCGCGCTAGCCCGCGCATGCTCAAGCGCGCAGCGGCCAGCTAGTTTGGCGCCACCGACGCGCACGCGGTGGCGCTGACCGCTCGGCACATCCCAGCGGGCCCTTCAGTGAGAGTCGGCGACTTGGGCGGGCGCGGTATCTTGGCAACGTCAACAACATTAGACAAGATGATGATAGTAGCGATGCTGGTGACGATGCTGGCAGCGACGACGGGGCAGCCAGTGACGGCGCCGATGCTGGCTACGCCAACGACGATGACGGCGTCTTCGCGTCGGTGATGAAGGTTTTGGAAGGAGTTCGAAATGCGCGCGCGGCAGACGCGAGAGAGTGGCCCGCATGGTACTATTTGATACGGATCGTGCCACCCCAGCACGCGCGCAAGGGAGGCCGAACGATTTCGACATATGCGCGCGCGAAGCCCGTTTGGTAGCATGTGATGCACATGTTGAAAAAAAAAACCTACGGATTTTCTCAGAATTCGCGAGAGCGCACGCAACCTTCTTTGAAAATCCGCGTTGAGAAACCATGTGTTTGTTATATCATATGATTTTTGGACACTGCATTTTGAAATCCTTACGAAACCGAAGGTTTTCGAAGGATCTCGGCATGCGCGCGCGACGACGCGCGAGTGTGCACTTCGTCCCATTGTTTGCAAGGGGTTCTTGAACATTTGTTTTTTATAAACGAGGGTGCGCGCATACTATTTGTTGGAAAGGATGGCATTGGGGTCGAACCGGTTGGGCTGGGATGGTATGTACTCATTTGTAGGATGGACGACGAGGCACAAATTCTTGTACATTGCAATACGAAAAGGGATACCGATAATCCTGGGTGGGGTGTAGAATATATTCTCTTTTATATGTCATGAATTCTATGTGGTTGTACAAAAAATGCTGCGCTAATTTTGTGGTGCATCCCATGTTGTTATATATAGATAGTGATGAAAGATTGTGAAAATAGACGTGGATGTGAGAATACGTTGTGCAATCTATGTGGTGCAATGTATGCTGTGCACTTTTGTGCTGCCCAATCTACAAGCACGCCGCAGGATCGACTTGTTTTCGTGCAAGAAATGTGGTGCTATCGAACGGCGGCGGCGGGCGGCGACAAGGCGGCGACGACGCGGCGACGGGGCGGCGACGGCCGGCACGGGACCGCCAGACAGAAACACAAGCCCAGGCAACTGGCGGCGACGAAGCGGCCGCGGGGCGGCGACGGCCAGCCGGGACCGGCCACAGCGACACACAGGCCCAGGCAACGGGCGGCGACGGCCGTGCTTCCCCTCGAGTGCAAGCACTGTCTTGGGGAAAGCACGACCGTGCACATCAGGGCCCTTTGCTGCTAGGATGGTACCTTGCTGAAATCATGCGCAGAGCTTTCGAATGGCTTGTGACAGCGTCCGAACTTTCGTCGGGCCTGAAGGAGGCCTCTGGAGGCGTCCACGGACCTGGGAGCACCTCCAGGCACCCTGGGCCAGGATCCAGGGCGGAAGGAAAACCTGGCAGCCCAAACCCCCCCTGAAGTCCATGGCAACTTGTTGGAAACATCCCGATTAGAACTTCGAATGCCTATTTTACTTGTTCCTCCTCCACCTCCTCCACCTCCTCCTCCTTACTTGCTTCTTGCTCCTCCTCTCCCTCCTCCTCTTCCTCCCCAGGCCTGTCGACGATATCGAATGCCTTCAAGGCCAGGTCCGTCATCGGGCTCTCCGCACGGGCGATTCCCGCCGTCAGCGGCGCCAGCTGTGCCTCCGCGGCTGCGGGAGCGGCGAGCAACGAGGGGTGGTGATGGTGGTCGCGATGGTGGAGGTGGCGGTGATGACGGTGGCGGTGGAGGCGGTGGTAGTGGTGGTGGTGGTGGTAGTTGTGGTCGTCGTCGTCGGGAGGGAGGGACCCAGGGAGGGAGGGACGGAAGAAGGTAGGGAGGGATCAGGGGGGAAGTGGAGGAGGGGAAAGAGGGTGAGGAGGAGGAAAGGAGAGGGAGAGGAGGAGGAGAGGAGAAAAGGGAAGAGGGTGAGGGGGAGGGGGCAGAGGAGAGAAGGGAGGGGAGGAGGAGAGGAGAGAAAACGAGGGCGAGGAGGAGGGGGCAGAAGAGGGAGAGGAGGAGGAGAGGAGAGGGGAAAAAGGGAATCATGGGCGGCTCCAGTGCCGAGCCTAAGGCGAGTGGGGGGGGGAAGGGGGTTTCGCCTCCACGTCTGGATCCTCCTCGAAGTCCTGGTCGGAATATGAAAAAGGGAATCATGGGCGGCTCCAGTGCCGAGCCTAAGGCAAGTGGGGGGGAAGGGGGTTTCGCCTCCACGTCTGGATCCTCCTCGAAGTCCTGGTCGGAATGTGCTCCAGGGCAAGTCGGGAAACCGATCATGGGAAAAATAAAAAGAAGAGAGGAGGACAGGGAGGAAGAGGAGGATGAGAAAAAAAGGGAGGGAAGGGAGGAGCAGGGGGATGAAGAGGCGGTGATTAAGAAAGTGAGGAGGAGGCGGTGGTGGGAGGAGAAAGGGGAGGAGGAGGAGGAGGAAGAGGAGGAGGAGGAGGAGGAAGAAGAGGAGGAGGAGGAAGAAGAGGATCAACAGCAGCAGGAGCAAGACCGAGAGAAGGACACATCATCATCACAATCATTAGCATCATCAGCATCAGCATCATCATCAGCATCATCAGCAGCAGCATCATCATAATCATCATCATCATCATCATCATCATCATCATCATCATCATCATCAGCATCATCATCATCTTTAATATCATCCTCATCATCATCGTCATCAGCATCAGCATCATCATCATCATCATCATCATCATCATCATCATCATCATCATCATCATCATGACCATCACCATCCTCATCAGCAGCAGCCACATCCTCGCCACCAACACCACCACCATCATCGGTATCATCATCACCATCATCACCATCATAAGCATCGTCATCGCCATCATCAGCATCATCATCAGAATCAGCATCAGCATCAGCATCAGCATCAGCATCATCAGCATCAGCATCAGCATCAGCATCATCATCATCATCAGCATCATCATCATCCTCACCGTCATCACCACCATCATCATCATCATCGTCACCACCAGCACCATCCTCATTTACCCCCTCCCTCCTCATCCCCTGACCCTGTATCACGTTCTTCCTCGTCCTCTCCTCCGTCCGCGATCATAAGGCGACCCGCAGTCGGGACACCCGCCAAGCCAGGCCGAACGGCCCCAGCGCGGGCACATATACTCACCGCGGGCGGCGGAGAGGCGGATGGAGACAGGTCGCGTGCGTACATTCCGTGTTACGTTCAGGAACTTTTGGATAGCGTGTTGCGGCGGCGGCCTCGGCGACACCATGCCATGCGAATGGATAGCGTGTCGCTCGCCTCCGCAGGGCGGGAGGCTCGGAAAGGCTCGGGACATTGACGCCTTGGAACCGCGAAGTGGATAGCATGTCGCGCCGAAGCGCGGTGGGCCAGAACTGGCGGAGCGACACGCGATCCAAGCGTTCCCGACCGTCTAACTGCGCACCGCGGGCGGCGGAGAGGCGGATTGAGACAGGTCGCGCGCGTTCCTTCCATGTCATCTCCCCGAGGTGGGAATTTATACATGACCACCGCCTGGAGGATCAATTTTCGGGGACCTCGGCAGGCGGTGGATAGGGACATATTCGGGCCCCCGGGGGCCAAAATATATCCACGTCCACCGCTTGCTGGGGCACCAGGACGCGGGTTCCCAGGCGGTGGTCATAGATAAATCCTGGCCTCGCAATCTCCCACGCGGCGCCCGTATGAACTGCTGCTGCGCGTCGTTCCTCTCCAGCAGCTCCCGCTCCCCCGCCCAGCTCGCGGCCTGCCTGGGCTGGCGGCCCAGCCGCGCGAGATCGCCACCGCCGCCGCCGCCGCCGTCGCCGCTGCCGCTGCCGAGGTCGCGGCCTGCCCGGACCGGCGGGCCCCGCGCCACCGTGGCCGCCGCCGTCGCCGTCACCATCGGGGACGTCGTCGGTCCGCGAAGTTCGAGGACCCACTCAGGATGTTTGGGAGCAGGAGGTTCTCTCTCATGTGGGACTCCGAGGGCGGCTGGATCCGCATCGTGGCAGCGGGCGGGTCCGCATCGAAGTTCTAGTCAGGGCGCGCTCCAGGACAGGTCTGGGGGCCGTCGTCATCGCTGTGATCGCCGCAGCTCTGGTCACCGTCGCCACCGTCGACGTCGCTGCAGTCCTACTCGACATCATTAGATTTCTTGTCACCACCACCATCCGATCACCATCATAAGCATCATCGTCAGCAGTAGCAGCAGCAGCAACAGCAGCATCATAATCATCAGCACCATCATCAGCATCAGCACCATCATCAGCATCATCATCAGCATCATCATCACCACCACCACTACCATCATCATCATCATCATCAGCAGCAGCAGCATCATCATTATCAGCAGCAGCAGCATCACCATCATCATCACCATCACCATCATCAGCATCATCATCATCAGCATCATCATCATCAGCATCATCAGCATCATCAGCAGCATCAGCATCATAAGCATCATCAGCAGCATCATCAGCACTAGCATCATCATCAGCAGCATCATCAGCAGCAGCATCAGCATCATCATAATCATCAGCAGCAGCATCAGCATTAGCATCATCATCAGCAGCAGCATCAGCATCAGCATCATCATCAGCATCATCACCGTCAGCATCCTCATCATCACCCTCGTGCCCACCGAGGCCCCAACATGCCCCCAGAGGCCTCGAGATGCCCCCGAAAAGCCAAACCCCCTCAGTGTTTTTTTCGCGCAGCGGGGCTCGACCTGACTCCCCTGCGGTGACGACGCGGCGGTCAGATGCCTCACACCTTTCGACGCTCGTCGCCACCCGCGCGGGTGACTGCCTCCGCGGAGCACGCTGCCTGGCCTCTTCGAGGCGTCCGTCCCGCTGGTCTTGTGCCCGCCGTCTGTGATCTCGGGCTTTGACCGATCTCCGCTCCGGAGATCCTGGACGGCCCCCGATAGCTTCGAAATGGTCCCAAGAAGCCCAGGACGGCCCAACGTGGCCTCCACGTGGCCCCCGATGGCCACAAGACGCTCCAAGATGGCCTCAAGGCAACCCAAGAGGCTCCCTAAGGCGCCCCCAAAGGACTTCAAGATGACTCCCAAGAAGGCCCCAAGAAAGGATAATCGTTCCGATCCCTGAGGGCAGCGTATTATCTTGCATATTCGCTGTTCTGGTCTTCGCAGCGTCTAAGACGGCCCAAGAGGTCCCCGAAATTGCCCCCACATAGCCCCAGAAACCACCAAGAAGGTCCCAAGACGGCCACACAAACCTCCAAGAGGGAATCCAAGACGGCACATGAGGGCTCCAGGGAGGTCCAAGAAGTTCTCAAGACGGTCCCAGAAACGCCTTCGCAACAATTTCCGAAGGCAACAGACGGCCCCAGAGCGCCAAAGACGGCCCAAGACGCCCCCAAAAAATCCAAGCAGGCCCCCAGAAGACCCCAATGGATCGGCGGTGCGGCGAAAGCCTTTGAATCATATCATCGGAGGTATGAGTCCGCACTGGCTCTTGCCAACTCGCTGGATGTTTGGGGAAAAGGAGACTGGACGGAAAAAGAACGATGACCATGACAAAGACTGAACGCGGAGACGCCGGTGTGGAGCTTGGTCATCGTCCATCTTGGTCATCGTTAATTCGTGGATCATGCTCGCGAATCGGCGACAGCCAGCATGGACCAGGACCAAAATCGTTGTCGACAAGACCCACGATATCTTGTTCATGGTCATTGTGCTTCCTTGCTTCGAAAAACGGCGGCCCCAGAGCTCTCGACCCTTCCCTGGGGAGCAGTCTTGCGTCCCGGATCCGTTCTTGCTGGCCCCCCAGGCCCAAAAAACTGCCCCACAGGAATAAAACGAGGGGAAAACGCCGAAAACAAAAACACGAACAACAAACAGAAAACAAAGCACGCCACAAATATCGACTCAGCAGGCTTACAGTAGAGAGAGGATGCACTGGCTCCCGCCAACACGTGAGAAAGAGCCGCCTGTACGCGCCCACGAAGGCTCCGCAGGCGCTCGTCTCCCCGGTCTGGCCCTTCCGGTTGTACTTGCCCACCTCTCCTCTCGGGGGCGTCCAAGACGGGGGGCGTCCAAGAGGGGGGCTCGCAGATCATGGCCTGGGGCATGTGCGCGGACGAGGGGGAGACCACGAGACGCACGGGAAGAAGAAGCGGGGGCCATCAGATCCGGGGAGATTTCGTGTTGGGAGGAGGGTGGTGGGAAGATGCAGGGCACGACTCTGCACTTAGCACCGTCAACATACGCGGTAGCACGTATGATCTGGCTACTTCTCCCAACCCTATCCTGCCAATCCGATGATTGTCTGTCTGACAGCCCCCAGGGGCGGCCACGAGGGGGGCGTTCAAGAGGGGGCCTGCGGCATGTGCGCGGCCCAGGGTTGGGCGGGGACGCACTAAAATTATCCCGGTGCGACCCTACCTAGGAGTTGGAGCCCCTAGGAAAGCAGCATTAGTAGTAACGGTAAACGCCGTCCTCCTCCTTCTCCTCATCGTCGTAGTTGCCTTTGTGTTTGCTCTTGCCTTTGCTTTTGCCTTTTGCCATTGCCATTGATTTTGTTTGTTGATTTTGCTGTTGATGTTGCATTGTTTTTGTTGTTGTGTTGATGTTGCTTTGCTGTTGCTGTTGATTGTGATGTGTTTTTGCCCTGCTTTGATAGTAGAGTGCTGCGTACATATAAGCTAAGCTAAGCTAAGCTAAGCTAAGCTAGGCTAAGCTAAGCTAAACTAAGCTAAGCTAAGCTAAGCTAAGCTAAGCTAAGCTAAGCTAAGCTAGGCTAGGCTAAGTTAAGCTAAGTTAAGCTAAGCTAAGCTAAGCTAAGCTAAGATGAGCTAAGCTAAGCTAAGCTAAGCTAAACTAAGCTAAGCTAAGCTAAGCTAAGCTAAGCTAAGCTAAGCTAAGCTAAGCTAAGCTAAGCTAAGCTAGGCTAGGCTAGGCTAAGCTAAGCTAAGATGAGATAAGCTAAGCTACGCTAAGCTATGCTAGGCTAACCTAGGCTTAGCTGAGCTAAGCTAAGGTAAGCTAAGCTAAGCTAAACTAGGGGAACCCAGGGGACGCAACTGGGGGAACCGCGGGGCGGGGACTGGGGGAACCGCCCGGGGCGTTTTACACTGCCCGGCCCCTTTAAGCAAACAAAGTAAGAACCCTCTAGGCAGAGCCTAGGTTGGGAATCAGAAAAAGCGCCATGAAATCTGGGCAGATATCATGGTTCCCGCCATGAGATCCACCCCCCACAACGGCAGGTTCGCGCGGCGTCGGCGCGCGCCAAGATTGTTGACCCCGCGTCGGTCGCTCAACCTTGAATCGATCGCGGTCCCGATCGCTGAATCGATCACGGCCCCCTTTTCGCCCTCATGAGCACGCCGCCCCTCCTCTTCATCATGGTTACCCAAATCTTCCTCAGCCTCTCATCCCCGCTCCTCCTCCTCTTCCTCCTCCTCCTCCTCGACGAAGCCATAGCGCATCGCGAGTCCGACGCGCCGCAACAAAGCCATCGGGACCATTCTTGGGGCAACCCCAGCAATGAACCAAATGCGGGGGGCAGGAGCTACAGCGGACGCGAACCTGACGACGGGGCGGAAGAAAAGAAGGAAGAGGACGACGAAGAGGAGAGAAAGAGAGAGGCGCCAGCTCACCGACGCGCTGCTCCGCGAACAGCACTGACCGCCGAAAACGGCCAACCCCCATGCCTCCGTGGCTCTTCCTTCCAGCACCACAGGACACTGGCCATCCCCCAACGGAACTCCGCGCGGGGCACACGGGGCGGGAAAGCGCACGGGTGACCAGGCCCAACCCCGCAGACCCCCTTGTCCAAGGGGGGTCAGGTGGAACCACGTCTTGAGTCGTGCCCAAAGGCCGACCCCCCCAGCCACACCCTTGCCCCGCGACGTGACGGGAGGGCCAATAAAGTGGCTGGGGCCTGCCCCCACAAAGGCAGGCACCACGCAGGCCTACGCAGACCGAGATACACGCCGGCCCAGAGGGGTACCCTCGCGGCCCCACAACGCCAAGTCCCAGAGGGACCTGAGACGGCAGACCCGTACCACAGCGGGACCACCGCTAGAGTACGGGGGGGCCGCCCCGTAAGGGCACCGACGCCCCTGGCCCGCCGCGCCGCCCTTGCGCAGGCGACGTCTTGGCAGGTTTCAGTTCACCCCAGGAGCCCCGACGTGCCGCCCACACGCCGAGGTACCCTCCTGGGGGCTCCTCCTCCTCCTCCTCCTCCTCCTCCTCCTCTTCCTCCTCCTCCCCTTCCTCCTCCTCATCATCATTATACAAATCCCCCTCATCATATCACTCCTCATCCTTATCCTAGTCCTTCTAACAAAATATGATGTCATCCTCCTTCTCCCTAACCATCACCTTCATCCAACCATCATCAGCCCGACAATCATAATCATCATCATCATCATCATCATCATCATCATCATCATCATCATCATCATCATCATCATCATCATCATCATCGTCATCATCATCATCATCATCATCGCATCAGCATCGGCATCAGCATCAACATCATCATCATCATCACCCTCACCATCATGATCCTGAACATAGTCGCCATCATCGTCGTCGGCATCAGCATCATGCTCATCACCATCGTCATCATCATCATCATCATCCTCATCATCACCATGCTCCTCATCATCATCACCATCATCCCTTCCCAGGTCCTTGTCCTCACCCTCCTGCTGATCATCCTCTCCTCCTCCTCCACCTCCTCCTCCTCCTTCCCTATCCTCTTCCTTCCCCATCCTCCTGCTACTCCTCCTCCTTCTTGTGCCAGGAAGCTTGAACACACACACACACACACACACGCACAAACACACACAGACACATAGACACACAGACACACGTAGCTGGCTTCATGTCTAGAAAATATGCAGGCCGCGCGCTGGATGCACATTTAGCGGGCCATGGTACCCAGCCATGCGCCGGCCGAACGACATGCGGCCACATGTGCATCCAGCTGTCGCCTCAGGCCGGCCACGTCGTGTGTATCCAACCCCCTAGTCAATCCGCATCAAGCCCTTCCTCCTCCCTCTTCTCCTGCTACTCCTGCTCCACCCTTTGGCAAGAAGGAAACGGGTACTGAGAAAAACGGGTCCTAGATCCTCTGTGTTCCCCAAGACGAACTCTTCATACTAAATCGTGTTATGACAGTGATACGGCTCGTGGAGGGTCCTGCGGGGCCAAAAGCGCCGACAAAAACTCTGGAAATGCTCCCCTCGGAACCCGTTTGCTTCATGGCGAACCATATCCTCCTCCACCATCTGGCAGCGAAGTCTGGAGGGGACCGCGATGTTCACCCGCTGCTCCTATGTCAGAGATGCCAACGTGGGGGCCGTAGACGACGAAAATGCTGCCATCCTCCGGGGCCTCGGTTCGACTCTCTCTCCCTCTCTCTCTCTCTCTCTATCTCCTTCTCTGTCTCTCTGAATGCAGCGTCTCTCTCTCTCTCACTTCGCAACAAAGCCTCCTCGCGCAGCGCCTCCACCACGCCCGCGATGCATCCGCGTCTCCCTCCGCCAACCTTTCACGGGGCGGGACCCTCTTTTGGCACGACCTGCTCAGGGTCGTGCCAGTCCGGACCGGACCCCCATACCTGATCGGCTCCACCCTACACCACGCGAAATGGTTAAGAAATCATGGGTTAAGAAATTCATAGTCTCAGAACTTGACTAAAAACCCAAAATTTCTATTAAAATCTTAGGATCTACATTGAAACATTAAGAAAAATCGAGACCCTGGCCGAACATTTAAGTTTTCTTAAGCATCGCCTAAGGTGCACGCCAGCCCGATTCACCGCGCGGCCACGCGTCATCGGCGCCTGGCTGCGGAGACGGGGGACGCCCCGTCTCCGCACGCCCGCATAGCGGCCGAGCTTTTTGCCCCCCCGCCGCCAGACGGGCGGGGCTCTGTAGGCCTGGGCCCTTCCACCGCGCCGAGAGACGTGGCGCATCGCCTGCTCGGCATCCCGCCTGCTCCTCCAGTCGCTTTGCGGAGGGGGGCGAACGTACCCCGCACGTTCAAGGTGGACACCACCGCTAAGTATGCTTTCGCGGCCCAACTGCAGCTGCCGGCCGTAACGGATCCGCCGTCTACGCGTCCGCTCTCTCTCTCTCTCTCTCTTTTTCTCTCGTTCCCTCTCCCTCTCACTCTCTCTTTCTCTCTCTCTCTCTCTCTTTCTCTCTCTCTCTCTCTCTTTCTCTCTCTCTCTCTCTCTCTCTCTCTCTCTCTCTCTATATATATATAGCTCCTTCTCTCTCTCTATGTTCTCTCGCTCTCTCTCTCTCTTCCTGTTTCATTGAATATGTACATATACATATACATGCGTGTAAATATGTGTATGTATATCAATATGTATATATTTCGCTGTCTCCCTCTCTCATTATACTTTCTCCGTTTCTCTCCTCTCTCTCTCTATCCCTCCCTCTCGTCAGTCCATCTATGAATCCCACGAAGCGACGCACATGGGAGAAGGAAGGGGGTCTCTCCAGTCTCTGCCCGAGGGTCTCTGACCATGTGTGCAGCAGCGACACGAAGCCGCCAGCACAGCTAGCATCTTTCTACGCACATAGCGAGACTGGACACACCGCAGCCCACGGCGCGACTGAGTCGCACCATCTCCATATTCCCGCACGCGCCGCAGTGGCTCCTGAGAGCCCTCGCCGTGTGATCATATGTACCACTGCATCCAGAGCCACCAGGCAAGGGCCGCCAAGCCCCCTGTCCAGAGAACCTTCTCGTTCGCCAGGAGGCCTGCACCGCTGCTCTCCCAAGCAGTGGCGGCGCAGACTGGGCAGCTGGAGCATTGTACGACGAGCTTGTCCAGAAAACCCAGACATCACACACACACACACACACAATACGTGCTCCAGCCGTGACCCGCAAGGGTTCATGTCCCTGGCCGTTATCCAACTGGATCCTGGCACAGCCCGTCTCATCAGCCTCGTTGCGCCAAACCGGGACGTCCCGATCGCGCCTACGCCCAACAGGGCCGACCACGGGATCTCACGCACCACTAGCATCCCATAACACCCCGCCGAGCTTCAAGAGCCACCAAGCTACGAATAAGACTCGGACGAAGACTGGTCATCCAAACCACACGTCCAAGGGATCCCCGATCAGACCGACGCCCGATTACGCAGCCTCGAAACGGAGCAGCAGAGGCTCGCGGACACAGTAATGTGCATTGAAACCACGATGGCCAGCGTGGCCACAATCGAAGAGACACTGGTCCAGCAGTGCCACCAGCTCGACGAAGGGATCGCCTATATCCTATCAGAGCACACCAGCCTGAACATAAACCTGAGGGCATTAATGACAAACACGCGAGCTGACGACTTGGACGACGAATGGGACCCCTTATGACGATGCGGACGCGCGCCCCTGCGACGATCGGGACCCCAGCGAAGACTGGGACCCCTGCGACGAACGGGACCCCAGCGTGCCAGGTAGTGTGGGGGCCCAATCGTATGGCATCGGGAAAAAGCCTGGACCCATCAGGGCAAGCGCATGGCACACCAGGGCCGACGCACTCCCCGACACCACAGGCCTCGCCCCGCCACCTCTGCATCCACCAAATCCAGGAACACATCGTAGTAACGGTCACCAACCAGGTAATGAACCCCATTAACAGACTACACGGCACCGTCATTGGCCACACGGGGGATCATAATCAATACTGGGTGGTCCTGCCGACCACTGGCAATACAGCCGCCCTGTTCACGTCTAGTTTGATCCTTCGCTTTCCTCAGCAGCCGGCGAGGGGTACCACTGCGCCAACGCCAGGGCCCAGGTCAGCAGAGACGTCAGACTCGTCGACGGCGGGACCTACGGCTGAGGCACCAGGCCCGCCTGTGCACATGCGAAAGCCCGCGCCAGGCCCTGAGGGCCTGAGCTCGCACATCCGATGCCAACCGTCGCACCAGCGACTGCGGCACCGAAAGGGCTCACGGGCACCCTGGGGTTTCGTTCGCAGCTGCGGGAGCGCTTTAGCAAGCTCCGCAAACACCGACGCGGACCGCGACCCCCCGTCGGTCCAAATCTCCCCAGAATCCTGGACGGTGACGCCGAGGGAGGCCCAGCGCGAGTTGATCTGCGAGGCGTCTCCCTCGGTCCTCTGCCGCCAGCTCCGTCTCGCGGGCACTGATTGCACGCTCCCTCTTTGTGTCCGACCAGCAGCGACTTGATGCATCTTTTGTTGAAGCATCTCCTCGACTTGTTTCATACCCATCTCCGCTTGCTGCTGCTGCTGCGCGGCCTCCCGGTCGGCCTTCCCGAGGCCCAGGCAACACGCTGTCCTTGCGCGAAGCACTACGCATAGCTGCTTGACGCCGCAGTGCTCGCAGACCTGCGAGCAAGCGTGACGGACGAGTCTCTGACATCGGCCCGACCTCCCCGGACAACGACTCCCTGCATTCGCGGCGCATTCGGAGGTCGGCACCCAGCATCCTTCGACCATCAAGGCTGCGCCTATCAACGAAACAACGGATCGAACTGGAGACCTCTGCCTCCTGTCCTTCGCCGACCCGGGAGACCTCTGCCTCCAGTCCCTCGGGACCTGTCGCGACGATCACCCCTGGAGATCTCTCCTGCCGAGACGATCACCACTGGACGTGTCCTTACCATAGCTCATGCGTGACGAAATGTATGCCTGCCGTTCGGCTGCCCTCTTCTTTTCTGGCGTCGGCACCCAGGGAGTCTGAAGGAGGAGGAAGAGGAGGTGGAAGAGGAGGAGGAGAAAGAGGAGGAGGAGGAGGCGGGAGGAGAAAGGAGGAGGGGGATGAGGCGGAGGAGGAGGAGGAGGAGGAGGAGGAGGAGGAGGAGGAGGAGGAGGCGGAGGAGGAGGAGGAGGAGGAGGAGGAGGAGGAAGAGGAGGAGACGATGGGCCAGCGGCAGAGCCGCTGGGACGATGGGCCAGCGGCGGAGCCGCAGGGGCCACCACGCATCGACCCACCCCGCACCGGCTTCTGGGACCTGGGTGGCAGGTGCTGGGTCCTCCTCCTCCTCCTCCTCCTCCTCCTCCTCCTCCTCGTCCTCGTCCTCGTCCTCGTCCTCCTCTTCCTCCTCCTCGTCCTCCTCCTCCTCGTCCTCGTCCTCCTCCTCCTGGAGACCGTGGTGGCACGGGGCGGCGCCTCCTCGCAGCGAACAAGCAGCCCGCTCCCTCGGTCTTCCTCGCGGGGTCTGTGCGACGCCTCGGAAACAGCACCGGAGGCGGAACTCTGCCCGCTCACACCTGGGAGCACTGGGCCCGCTCGTCGGTGCCAGCTCTGGCAGACTGCTTCCGTGCGCCTCTGGCGATGTTCCACTGCGTCGGCTCAGGGCTATCTCGAGTGACTCTTGAGCCGCTTCCGAAGCGAGGGGGGGGGCAGTACATCTACTGGGTCTTCCCTGCGTCAGCCAAACCGTCGACGCCAGTGGCTCCGATCGCCTCGGCGTCGACGTAAGGATTCCCAGTCAGGCCTGTCCCATGCGCATGGATTGTCGGGTGAGATACTGCATGCGATCCTTCACCACACGAGGCCGATCGCCCCACCAGCTGAGTTGACGCCCCACCAGCTGAGTTGACTTCTGTTCGACTTGACTACTTGTCCCCTCCTCAGGTCTGGGGGGTCGCCAGGCTCTTTCTCCTGACGCCGCCCTCGTAATCGTCTGGCACGGGTCCGACTCTGACGGTAGGGTGTGCGAGGGATCTTTCCTGGTGCCCACATTTGTTAATCCTCGGGGTGGGGGGACACAAACTGGGAATATTTGATTATGTTTTGTCGTCATGATACTGCTGTCGTGTCTGGACGTTGCAACTGTCATGGCGTTCTTCGCGAACCTCGCCATCATGATGAAATTCCGTTAACACTTCGGCTGGTAACCCGTAAATTGCCCGACTACCTTCAGGATCTAGCACTCGAGCATTGTCCTTACTCCGATATCTTAGCTCAGGGGTTCCCTTATCCAGGACATTGCTGACGTGCGTTACCTTCACGAAGTCTTGCGGCATGGCTACAGACTTCCGCATGATAAAGTGAATGCACAGGTGGGTGAACATACGCGCGAACTAAAAAAAGAGGCGCGCGTACCTCTTGCCAGGACGCGGTTCGCGTCCCACACCTGACGTATGACTCTTAAGCCAAACGCGCAGAATTGCGCCCGTGGGCTCGCACATATGATAGAGGCTGGGGCAGTAACAATAACGACTGACAGGCCACCGATAGCGAAACCGCAGGCCATCGGGCCCCTGTCGGCGATCCATGGGCGATCCCCCCCCCTCCTGAGCCTCTCCCCCCCCTAACGCTGCCCCTTGCCCCTGAAAGGAGGAGGCAGAGAGGGCGACTTAGGACGACACAGAGAAAGAGGAGGAGGAGGAGAAGGAGAAGGAGGGGGAGGAAAAAGAAGAGGAGGAGGAGGAGGAGGACGAGGAGGAGGAGGAGGAGGAGGAGGAGGAGGAGGAGGGGGAGGAGAAGGAGGATGAGGAGGAGGAGGAGGAGGAGGAGGAGGACACGGGTCCGCCGTGGGCCATGGCCGCGCGGTTCGCCAGGCCGCCGCTGGGTCCGCCTTGGCCGCGGGCGGCGAGGAGAGGAGGCGGAGGAGGAGGACGAGGCCAGCGTACGTCGACAACGACGACGACGACGACGACGTCCACCCTAGAGGGAAGCTCCTGCGGCCTCCTCGTCCGCAGTCGTCGCGTTGGACGGCGCGGTGAGGCGCAGCTCCCGAAGAGCGGAGCGTGCTGCATCAGGGTTGGTGGAGGAGAGCAGCAGCAAGGCAGGAGCAAGACAGTGGACGGAGCGATAAACGTGGCGCGCCAAAAGATTTCTTCCAGAACGGAGACGGTGCAACCAGGGATTTCCAACCTCTGCAGTGGGTCGGGCGAGAGAAGTCTGTAACGCAGAACAATCGAGACAGACAATTCGAGGCGAGCACAGGAGGCATAGTGTGACTGCTTATCTGGGGCGCTCACACAGCCATAGATGCAACTCAGACGACCTCGCTCATTCAGAATCCTGTGGGGCGTGAGCCACGCTCCACTCATGGTGCGATGCCAAGACCAGGGCCAAGATGGGGGAACGCTCTTCAACCTATGTTGAATCTCAGGCCAGTCCGTGCTCGATAGTGGCAGCTCTCTCAGGCCACCACTTCTTCGAGCGAGCGGCACACAGGTCGGGAGGCTGTACAACGGCACGAGTCGAAGGCATTCGATTTTGGCAGCACGCTGGGCCGTGTCCAAACATGGGCGGCAGACGGCAGCGGCAGCGGCATGTGCGAGACCTCCACAACCCACATTCATGAAGAAATTCAGCAAAAGCTCGGCACTTCCAGTGCGGCGGGTATCGGCGACCCGCTGGGAAAACAGTAAGCCTGCACTCGTCAAGTTCACGAGACTGGGGGGGTATCCTTCATGCGAATCAACCACTTATGCACCTTCTTGTATTCAGGAATCGTAGCAATAAACATCCGCGCCAACGACGAGATACTCACCACCTCAAAGGGCAAACCTTGGGGCCGTTCCAGTCTTTCAGCTGCGCCCAGTCCCGATCACGAAAGGAGCCGAGCGGTAGACGAAAGGCCTGAGCGAGAGCATCACGCTTAGCTGGGCGCATATCAAGCGGCAACGGAATAAACAGCATCACGTAGCGAGGGACGGGCATGCAGCGCGTGCTATACATAAATACCGAGGACGAGGCTGGAGTGTTACCTATACCCACTGTGGCAGCACGAGCTCGGAACTCGGCACGCGGCCATAACCATGAGGTGCCTAACACCGTGGCGGGCCCGATCCACAGCCCAAGGTAGAAGAGTTTGGACTCGATCCGAAAGTCAGACAATTCGGGGGTGCACGTGTTCAAGAACTGCTGGGCCCGATCCTTCAAAGCCGACGTGAACAGACCAGAGGCGGGTACCAGAACGCGTTTGGTACGTTTGAGGCCCAAGTTGGCCGTGGCTTCCACGATTGTCATTGTCCGACGTAGCTGCAGCACCGGGCGTGGGTTTTCGAGGGCTCCGCCCAACTCATCAGCACAGGCACGGCTGATCCCTTTCCTTGGCGCCTCGAACGAGCAGTGGAGGTCCCGCAGCGCGGGCGAGAGAGCGATGGCGAAAAGCGAGCTCGAGAGAGCACAGCTCTGGAAAATGCCCGACCGGCTACAGAACGCCTGCACGATGAGACCCTGGACCGAGGCCACTCCTTCGATGCCGCCGCAGAGGACCGAGGCGAAGCGAAGGAACCGTACTGGACACCCCATCTTGTGCAAAACGAGCAGCACGAGCTCTTGACTCAAGCTCGAGAGCGCCTGGCTGCAGTCCAGGGCGTCTGAACAGCGGGCGCAGCGGAGGTCGGCCTCCGGCCGCGCAGACTGCACGCGCGAGAGAGCATATCCACCTCCACGATGTTTACAGGCCAGAGCTTCGGCCCTTCGTGCAGCCCTGCCGGTCCCCAGGGGCAAAGCAGTCCAAAGGTCTCTGGATCGCAGCGTGCCTGGTAGCCGACAAGAGCTCGACACTGGCACTGCGAAGGCCAAAAAGCGAGGGGCAGAAGCATCCCTCTCGCGCATCCCCCTCCGCCGTGTCCGTGCCCACCCCTTCCTTAGGTAAGAACGCTTGCAGTGTGATGTTTTTCCGCGTACAGTCGGGGCGTTGACCTAAGGAACCCTAAATAAGGAACGAGGCCCCCTGTTCCCATAAGTTAAGTTTTGATTCCCCATGGAAAACGAAAGGAAAACCCAAGACAAACTGTACAACTATCAAGGAACACCGAGCCCCCCCCCAACGAAAAGGGTTTCTTCTTCAGCGCCCCGACTGTAGAACGACCACTTCCGCTCCATCATCCAGATCGAAGTGGCGTGCAACAGACGGAGCCCAGAAGGATGGGCCTGCCATGCAGCACAGGCGCTCCACGCCTGGGGCAGAGTCGCCAACTGGATGTGCAGCGCGCTTCAGCATGGCGAACGACGGCTGCGGGCAGATCACGAAATCGACGGGCTTGACGAGGCGTCCGCAGCAGGCGGCGGCGGTTTTGCGAGCCCGAGGTTGGCGAGCGAGCACGGGACCCCAATGCGAAGCCAACGCTTCATGACGAGCAACAAGTCCAGAAATGCTCCGACCATCCACAGCAACCGCACGAAGAGTAAGACGCCGAGCGAACGGAGCCCATATACGTGCTCTCCTCTCGATAGTCGGTTGACGCTCTCGCTGGCGAACTTCCTCCCCTTCAGCTCGCTCGAGACGGGCACCAGCAACAGCACGATCGAGATCCGCAGCTCTCAATTGCACATCGTTGGACCACCGTTGAAGAGCCGCAGGGTGCACGAGATCGACCTTCGAGCCCACGATACGGATGAAGTCAGCAGCGGCAGCATGCGAGCCTGATAAGCGAGCCGCCGTTGAGGCATCCTGACGCCGTACCACTCTAGCCAGAGAGCGTGCCAATAGCAGCAGCGTGCGCGGGGCGGATGGATGCTTAAACATGATCGTGTCCCTCGACTCCCTGCTCGCGGAGGACGCGGATGAAGGGGCCCCAGGACACACAAATAAATACACACAACTAAAAGGATTCCCCCTAGTTCCCCACATGTTCTGGATTTCTGTCTTCCCCCCCACTGCCCATATTTCCCATAGTTTCTTTGGAATCAACGATTATTTGTGCCTGTGTCTTTTTTCTCCTCCTGAGAGGAGGAGGAGGAGGAGGAGGAGGAGGAGGAGGACGACGACGACGACGACGAGGCTGGGTCGTGCCTCCGCGGGCCGAGCCCGCGGCGTGGTGCGAGAACGCGCCCCAGCCCGTCTTGCCGACCGAGGGCACGCCTGCCGACCCCCGCCCCGTCTTGCGCGGCCGCGGCCGCGGCCCGAGCCCCCGAGGCGTGGGCGCGGAGGAGGCCCGAGGCAGAGGCTCGAAGCTTGGAGTCGAGGTCGAGGTTCGAGGCCGAGGCTCGAGGCCGAGGCTCGAGGTTCGAGGCTCGAGGCTTGAGGTTCGAGGCCGAGGTTCGACGCCGAGGTTCGAGGCCGAGGTCGAGGCCCGAAGTCGAGGTCGAAGTTCAAGGCCGAGGCTCGAGGCCGAGGTGCGAGGCTGAGGCTCGAAGCCGAGATTCGAGGTTCGAAGTCCGCGGTCGAGGTTCGCGGTTCGAGGTTCGAGGCTGGAGGTTAGAGGCCGAAGCTCGAGGCCGAGGCTCGAGGTCGACGTCGATGTCCGAGGTCGGAGTCCCAGGGGGGGGTTCGAGGTCGGAGGTCGAGGCTCGAAGTTCGAGACCCTCGAGGCCCGAGGTTCGAGGTGCGACGCTTGAGGTCCGAAGTCAATGCTGAGATCCTCCCCTGCGGGACTAGCGGCCCTCTTCCTCATCCTCCTCCTCCTGCTCCTCCTTCTCCTCCCCCTCCCCCTCCTCCTCCTCCCTCCTCCCTCCTCCCTCCTCCTCCTCCTCTCCTCCTCCTCCTCCTCCTCCTCCTCCTCCTCCCTCCTCCTCCTCCTCCTCCTCCTCCTCCTCCTCCTCCTCCTCCTCCTCCTCCTCCTCCTCCTCCTCCTCCTCCTCCTCCTCCTTTCCGCAAACGGAACCGGCGGAGGTCGTCGTCGTCACCATCGTCACCATCAGAGGCGGCAAAAACGAAAAAGTGAAAGGACAAGGAGTGGAACGAGGAGTGAAAGGACAAGGAATGGAACGAGGCGGCAAAGAAAGAAAAGTGAAAGCACACGAGTGGAGAAGGAGAAGAAATGGGAGGAGGGGAAGCGCAGCGGCGGGCTGTATCGGGTGAGAGCTGATTCGAAGGAGGTGAAAAATTTGAGTAACACCCGAGGACCCGGAGGCGACCACCCGCTCGGAAGGGGGAGAGAGGAGGAGGAGGAAGAGGAGGAGCAGGAGGAGAAGGAGGAGGAGGAGGAGGAGGACGACGATGGAGGAGGAGAAGGAGGAGGAGGAGGAGGGGGGAGGAGGCATCGGAGGAGGAGGAGGAGGAGGTTTGGGGGGGGCAAGGCGGATGGCAAATAAAAGGGCGGCGTGGGCCCTCCTCCGAGGCCGCCCAGCGTGAAGACCTCGCCCCAGTACTTCTTGGCGAGGGAGGCGACGCCACCCTGCGCTCGCGCATCGCCGGCCGCCGCCGCCGCCGCCGCCGCCGTCGTCTTCGTCGTCGTCGTCGTCGTCGTCGTCGTCGTCGTCGTCGTCGTCGTCGTCGTCGTCGTCGTCGTCGTCGTCGTCGTCGTCGTCGTCGTCAACGTGGTCAACGTAATCGTCTCCCTGCCCGTCGTCATCGTCGCTTTGCCGGCCGCCCTCGTCGGAAGGAGAGGAGAAGGAGGAGGGAAAAGATGAGGAGAAGGAGGTGGGGGAAGAGGAAGAGAAAGAGGATATGGAGATGAAATGGAAGGGGACAGGAAGAGACGGGGAATGGAGAGTGGGGATGAGTGAAGAGGGGGGCTTGTTCCGGGTGAAGGTTAGGACCAGTGGACACAGAGGGTATGGTGAGAGAGGGAAGGGGGAGGGAAATGGAGCAACGCTGCCACAAGAGCGGTCCGAGAAGGCCAGAAGTGGAAAACCCATGTGGGTGCTATCGGACAACAACCTCTCTGCACCACTGCGATGGGGCGCCACACCCATGTGCCTCCGACAAGCCACAGCCCGAGAGGCGAGACTTGGAGGCGGCCAAAGAGGGAGGAGGCCAAATCCGCTCAGAACTGGCCCCCAAAACCCCTCTCGTGGTCCACCTGGTGCCTTCCCCTCCCCCTCCCCCTCCTCCTCCCCCTCCCCCCCCCTCCCCTCCTCCCTCTCCCCCTCCTCCTCCTCCTCTCTCCTCCTCCTCCTCCTCCTCCTCCTCCTCCTCCTCCTCCTCCTCCTCCTCCTCCTCCTCCTCCTCCTCCTCCTCCTCCTCTCCTCCTCCTCCTCCTCCTCCTCCTCCTCCTCCTCCTCCTCCTCCTCCTCCTCCTCCTCCTCCTCCTCCTCCTCCTCCTCCTCCTCCTCCTCCTCCTCCTCCTCCTCCTCCTCCTCCTCCTCCTCGTGCTCTCGTCCTCGTTCACTCCCCGATCCGATCCGTCGGCGACGGCCCCAGGGACCGGAGACGCCCCTCGGAGGCGGAGACGGGCCAAAGAGATGTCCCGAACGCCGCGCCTCGGCCCCTGAGCCGGTGCAAGGGCCACCTCCGGCCCCCAGCGGGCTCCAGGGAGAGACCGCATACACCCTGCGAAATGCTTAAGAAATCATGGGCTGAGAAATTCACAGTCTCAGAATTTGAATAAAAACTCAGAATGTCTATTCAAATATTAGGATTTACATTGAAACATTAAGAATAATCGAGACTCTGGCCGAAAACTTGGGTTTTCTTAAGCATCGCCTAGAGTGTACTGATGGAAGCAAGGCCAGAAGGAAAGGACCACTCAGCGGAGGCAGCTGCCACCGCCAACGGCTCCGCCGGGAGCCACGAGAGGAGTCCTCCCAGCGGCGCGGTCCCCGTCCTGCGGCGCCCCGCCGGAAGCATCTCCAACGTCCGCTTCAAGGGGGGAGAGGGGGTCGTAGTCGAAAACATGCTGGTAAGCTTAGATATATATTACGCCTTAGGCGTTCCCATATCCCAGGCTTTGGCTCATATCGCATGAGCAAGAGAGCAAGACGAAGCATGGGATCTGGAGTAAAGGATAGGATGGGCATCGTCAATGGAAAAGGTATTTTCCGATCTCAGATACAAGTCGTGCGCCTCGGTGAGGCACAATCACATATTTGGCCGGGCCCGGCTTGAGCCAGGCACGGCAGCGGTACATGCTCGATTTATACCTCGCCTTTAACCTTCTCCGTTTAAAGTCGGAGGGGGAGGAGACGAGCAGGCACCGCACTTCTACATTACGCGGAAAAACAGTGCTAAGCAGCAGCGGCTGCCTACAAGGCAAGGGCGCGCGAGTAGCCTCGCTACCGGCGAGTTTCCTCGCTACTAGAGCGCACCTGCATGCGGGTTTCCCCGCTAGCTCGGGAGGCAGGGCCGTCCTGAGACGACCTGCCCGCCCTATACGGAGTATGTTTCTTCAGCTCGTGCTTGAAGGATTGCTGGCCGGCCATTACTTGTAGGAGCAACGCGCGGTCAATACTACCTTTGGTATGACCATCGGCAGTCATATCCCGCGTGTCACACCATTGAACGCTTTCAACGATTCCGCGCTCCATCATCTGGCGGATCCAGCTAATGTGCCCAAGCAGAGTACATTCTGTGGGCTTCTTCAGATCTTTGCTAGACAAAGACTTGAAGACAGACTCGGCATCAATAGTCAGAGTGACTTTGATACATAGACCACCCATTTCCAATATGTTCTTTAACTGTGTGGGGGTCAATGGTCCCGAGTGTAGCTCGTGGAGCGTTACAATGGTCGGGTAGCAGTCTTCCAAGTTGTGGGCTGCTGCCAGTGTTTCCGCAGAGTAGCTCGAACGCACCTGCAGTCGATGAGACTTGCAGTATGCGTCCACCAGGTGCACGACGGGTTTCCCCGCTTGCGTGTGGCCACGCCTCAGCAGGTTAGCCCCGCGGATACCATAGCCTTTGACTTCGTCGTCTTCATCTCCGTTGAGACGACGATAGCCAGAATCGCTATGCAGGTCGACTTCTCCTGTTGGGGTCATAGCTTGATACACGATCTTCTTCGGACCTGCCTGTAGTTTCCTGGTAACCGCGTTTAGTCGTCGTACCTGGATGTTTGTCGGTTCCTGGATACGTTGTAGTGAGACAACATAGACCATCAGCCATACCTGCGTGATCAACGCATAGGCTAGAGCGCCACGAAGACTGACGAACATATCAGAAATCGTCTTTGTCGCTTTGCTCTCAGGATCAGCTCCTGTGAGTTCTGGATGTGTGATAGGACGAAGCTGTTTGATGTATTCGTCCTGATCAAGAGTGACGCTCCCATCATCGGTCTTGTTGTACCGAACGGCACAGTTTGTGCATGCGTGCTTGTTCAGTTTGCACTTTCCGAACGTATCTTCAACACACTTGACATACTTGTCAATAGCATCTTCCTTCCCAGTCATATTAATGTCATCAACGTGTTTGGCTGTCAAGAGGTTTGGGCTCATCTCGAACTCTTCGTCGTATGAAGTAGGCTGTAGCCCAAAGCTCCTAGTGATGGACCTGAGCTTCAACGAGAATGCCCTGGGAGCATCCTTCGTGCCCGTCCCCGGCTTCAGACACCGAAGACAATGCTTTGATTCGTCATATGACTCAAAGCCTGGCAGTGTGCGAAGGACAGCTGCTGACCCAGGAGGTAGTGCGAAGCACACCACACGCTCTTTTTCGCCCGTTGCCGCGGCGAGCTCGCTATAGGTCAGTCCCTTCAAGAAAGCCATGTTGATGTCCAGGGAAGCGATGATCCAAGCTTTGTTGCATGCAGCAGAACTTGCGAGCAGTCTCTGGCTTGACCTCCTTGCCGTGCCAGAGAAGGTTTCGACATCAAAGGCTTCAAGGTCCATGAAGCCACGGAGTACCAAGCGTAACCTGATCGTCCTTTCCATTTCGCCCTTTTCGTTCTTGACAAACTTCCATTTGTATACGTAGCGTGAAGTCATGATGTTAGACGCTTTGCTCAAGTCAGTCATCTGGAAGCATTTGTTGTCAAGCCAAGTCTTCAATTCTGTGTAAAGGGCTTTGGAAACTTTGACCGGATTCGCTTGAATGTCGGCCTTCGTGAGTAGATCGTCTTCCTTGACGACCACGGCACGTTTGGAGGCAGCACTAACGTATACTCGCATAGTTGTGACGCTGCTGTCATCCAACAATCGGTGTTGCTGCTCGGACAGGACGACTTTGGACATGTCTGCTGTGAAGCAGAGCTCGATGTACTTCCCGTGCTCATCGGAGTCCAGATCATATTTGCTATCCGGATCCGTGGAGCATAAAGGAACGTAGTAAGAAGTGTCCATGTCGTATCCTGGCGGGTGACCCCGCTCCGGCAAGTGGCCTTGCACATCTTCACAGGTCGTAGAGACTAACACACACTGTGTGTCTGTCATGTATGTGGGAACTGTATGCATGACTTCTTCTGTGTCAGCTTCAAGGAGTGTTCTGTCATCCATCAGTTCAGCATACCACGACTTCAAGACAAAGGCATCCAGATCTTCTTCTGTTTCCTCTATGATGGTCGGGAGCCGACCATCGTTCTCCGCAGGAGGCTGCTCAGGAGCAGCTGCTGGAGGTGACTCGCTTGGTGGTGGACCATCAGCGAGTTCCTCAAACTTAGTGAGGTCTCGGTCAAATCCAGCAGGCGGCTTCTTGGATTTAAGACACTGGATGATGCGTGAGTGTGTAGATCCTGTGATGTCGTAGATGTTCAAGGCAGTGCCATCAGCTTCATAGTAATGAAAGCCAGGGGTCACATCATTATCATAGTGCACTAGTGTACAGCTGTCTGCATAGGGTGCAGCAGGCAACTTCGTCAGGCTCTTGGCAAGTCGTACAGCAACAACGTTTTCAATGCGAAAATAGTTGCGTATGAGGTACTGAAGAGCCAAGTGCACCTTAGGCGAAAGCCGGCTCGCAGCAGTCATCTGCAGCCGGCCCTGTTTCGCTGGTAGATATCCGAAAGTCATGGCGGGTTTCCCCGCTGGCAGACCGGCAATAAAGGCCAATACTGTCCGAAGGGCCGTACTGTCCGATCCTATCTCGCGGACCATAAGTGCTTCGATGTACAGCGTGCGTCGTGTGTCAGGACACTGTACCCGCACCTCGCGGCTACCGACCTTCACGATGACCTGGCCTCGGTCAGGTTCGTTGCGGATGACCGGGCATGGACCACTCCATCCACCCCAGTCGTCTTTCGTGGTGGTCGGGCGATGATAGTCCACGAGATCTCCCTCTTTGTAGTGAAATTCACCCGTAGCAGTAGTCTTCGTACGGAGAGCCCTGTTCGTCTTGGCAACCGCAGTGGCCTGCGTGATTGCCTCCAGGCTAACCCTCCTGATTGTTTCCTCCCTTGAGTGATCTGATGATTCAGCGGACTGGTCATGATCCAAGACAGGGAAATCGGGAAGCATAGCTGGTTGTCTGCCATACAGCGCATTGCACGGAGAAACTTCATTGTAGAAGGTAAATGCGTTGCTGGCAAAC